CTTTTTCTATCTTCCTTTCTTTTCCTTTCTCTATCTTCATCTCCTTTCCTTTTTTAAAATCTTCCTTTCTGTCCTTTTCTATCTTTCTCTTCTTTCCTTTTTTAAAATCTTCCTTTGCGTCTCTTCCCTTCCCTTTTTCTATCTTCCTTCCCTTCCCTTTTTCTGTCTTCCTTTCCTGTCTTTTTCTATTTTCCTTTCCTTCTCTTCCCTTTTTCTACCTTCCTTTCCTGTCCTTTTCTATCTTCCTTTCTTTTCCTTTCTCTATCTTCATCTCCTTTCCTTTTTTAAAATCTTCCTTTCCTTTCCTTTTTAAAAATCTTTCCGTCTCTTCCCTTCCCTTTTTCTATCTTCCTTCCCTTCCCTTTTTCTGTCTTCCTTTCCTGTCTTTTTCTATTTTCCTTTCCTTCTCTTCCCTTTTTCTACCTTCCTTTCCTGTCCTTTTCTATCTTCCTTTCTTTTCCTTTCTCTCTTTCTCCTTTCCTTTTTTAAAATCTTCCTTTCCTTTCCTTTTTAAAAATCTTTCCGTCTCTTCCCTTCCCTTTTTCTATCTTCCTTCCCTTCCCTTTTTCTGTCTTCCTTTCCTGTCTTTTTCTATTTTCCTTTCCTTCTCTTCCCTTTTTCTACCTTCCTTTCCTGTCCTTTTCTATCTTCCTTTCTTTTCCTTTCTCTCTTTCTCCTTTCCTTTTTTAAAATCTTCCTTTCCTTTCCTTTTTAAAAATCTTTCCGTCTCTTCCCTTCCCTTTTTCTATCTTCCTTCCCTTTCCTTCTTCTGTCTTCCTTTCCTGTCCTTTTCTATCTTCCTTTCCATCTCTTCCCTTCCCCCTTTTTTCTATCTTCCTTCCCTTTTTCTATCTTCCTTCCCTTTCCTTCTTTGTCTTCCTTTCCTGTCCTTTTCTATCTTCCTTTCCATCTCTTCCCTTCCCCCTTTTTTATCTTCCTTCCCTTTTTCTATCTTCCGTTCTTTTCCTTTATCTTCCCCTCCTTTCCTTTTTTAAAATCTTCCTTTCCTGTCCTTTTCTATCTTCCTTTCCTTCTCTTCTCTTCCCCCCTTTTTAAATCTTCCTTTCCTTTTCCTATCGTCTTTCCCCTCAGGTGGAGGTGAGAGCCCGGCCTTTGGAAAGTAGCATTCCCACACACGCCCCTCACCCCGTGTCCTCCTATCTTCCTTTCTTTTCCTTTTTCTATCTTTCTCTCCTTTCCTTTTTTAATCTTCCTTTCCTGTCCTTTTCTAACTTCCTTTCCGTCTCTTCCCTTCTCCCTTTTTTGTATCTTCCTTCCCTTTTTCTATCTTCCTTTCTTTTCCTTTATCTTCCTCTCCTTTCTTTTTTTTTAAATTTTCCTTTCCTATCCTTTTCTATTGTCCTTTCCTTCTTTTCCCTTCTCCCTTTTTTCTATCTTCCTTTCCTTTTTCTATCTTCCTTCCCTTTTCTATCTTCCTTTCCTGTCCTTTTCTATCTTCCTTTGTTTTCCTTTATCTTCCTCTCCTTTCCTTTTTTTAAAAAATCTTCCCTTCCTGTCCTTTTCTATCTTCCTTTCCTTCTCTCCTCTTCCCTTTTTAAAAAATCTTCCTTTCCTGTCCCTTTCTATCTTCCTTTCTTTTCCTTTCCCTATCTTCCTCTCCTTTCCTTTTTTTAAAAAAATCTTCCTTTCCAGACCTTTTCTATCTTCCTTTCCTTCTCTTCCCTTCTCCCTTTTTATAATCTTCCTTCCCTTTTTCTATCTTCCTTTCTATCTCTTCTCTTCCCTTTTTTAAAATCTTCCTTTCCTTTTCCTATCGTCTTTCCCCTCAGGTGGAGGTGAGGGCTTTTGGAAAGTGGCATTCCCACACACGCCCCACACCCCGTGTCCCCCTATCTTCCTTTCTTTTCCTTTATCTTCCTCTCCTTTCTTTTTTTTAAATTTTCCTTTCCTATCCTTTTCTATCGTCCTTTCCTTCTCTTCCATTCTCCCTTTTTTCTATCTTCCTTCCCTTTTTCTATCTTCTTTCCCTTTTTCTATCTTCATTCCCTTTTTCTATCTTCCTTTCCTGTCCTTTTCTATCTTCCTTTCTTTTCCTTTATCTTCCTCTCCTTTCTTTTTTTTAAATTTTCCTTTCCTATCCTTTTCTATCGTCCTTTCCTTCTCTTCCATTCTCCCTTTTTTCTATCTTGCTTCCCTTTTTCT